GACGTAAGCGCTATGTCACCGAATATCTACTTCCCAAGCAAGCCTCGCAGTATTATCCAACCACAGTATTCATGCTTTATAATTCATAATTTCCGTGAATGAAATTCACAATTCAGCAACAAATCTCTCTATTAAATGCAACTCCGAGTAAAGCTCAACACCGTATTTGACTGACTATGAAACGTGGAGGATGTAATTTTGCTAAATTCATAGCAAGATTCCTCAGAAAAGAGGGACAGGCGTCGTTGTTCGAGAAAATGCGATTGATATTATAATGAATGTTCGATGATATTTTTGTGTACTTTCACTTGATGTCATCGTGCCCAATTAAATTGTATTGATGCTGCAGCAAAGTTATACTGATTCTTTTGCAAATCTCTTTGCTTATTTTTAGGTGGTAGATGGATGCTTAAATATAATAATATCTGCAATGAAATCTGCAATGACCACCACCACACGCTGATAATGAAAACGACCATTGAAAAAGATCAACAGATCAATAAATTATCACTCGCAACGAATCGCTCGTAAACAATTGAAGCAAATCCTTGAAATATGCCTTCATATTCATCAGTTTCCCAAATCAATCATTCCTCAGTTTGTTTCTGATCATTTTTACAATGAGGACACGGCGGCGTAAAGGAAAATTTTTTTCAAGTGATAACAGCGAATGAAAAGTGCAAAATTCAACTTCACAAAATATTTCCGCAGTGCTACGCAATAAATGCATGAATCAATGAGTTTTGACAAGAAGGCACTTGATTAAGGCAATATACTCGTTACTTAATATATCCATACTATTATATTTAAGCATCCATCTACCACCTAAAAATAAGCAAAGAGATTTGCAAAAGAATCAGTATAACTTTGCTGCAGCATCAATACAATTTAATTGGGCACGATGACATCAAGTGAAAGTACACAGAAATATCATCGAACATTCATTATAATATCAATCGCATTTTCTCGAACAACGACGCCTGTCCCTCTTTTCTGAGGAATCTTGCTATGAATTTAGCAAAATTACATCCTCCACGTTTCATAGTCAGTCAAATACGGTGTTGAGCTTTACTCGGAGTTGCATTTAATAGAGAGATTTGTTGCTGAATTGTGAATTTCATTCACGGAAATTATGAATTATAAAGCATGAATACTGTGGTTGGATAATACTGCGAGGCTTGCTTGGGAAGTAGATATTCGGTGACATAGCGCTTACGTCATCTTAATCAGCAATGTAACAGAAATTAATCATCAATTATTCAAATTTGTCAAACTCGCAAACACATATTAAAAGAAACTAAAAGAGAATTAAAATAAACTGAAAGATTAAATAAAATGAATAAATAAACATTTCAACATAAACTAAACGAAAATTCACTAGAATTATGTCAGATTAATAAATCTTAATCCATATGAAGGCATATTTCAAGAATTTGCTTGAATTGTTTACGAGCGATTCAATTGCGAGTGATAATTTATTGATCTGTTGATCTTTTTCAATGGTCGTTTTCATTATCAGCGTGTGGTGGTGGTCATTGCAGATTTCATTTCTAACAATGAAAATATTTTCAGCTTCGGCTCTTCTTGATCACTCTATCAGCGTTCTTATCGTCTTATATTTTTTCGTCTGATTGTTCGCTTCAATTGAAACAACACTGCTTCTTTATCTCGTGACGTAGGTGATTAGAGGTAGGTGTTTTATTTTTTGATGTGACCACTTCTTAAATGGAACTATCGATAGCAATCAACAGTGACTGTTGAAATACGGGCAGACTGTTTGTTCATCGCGATTCATCACTTTTAGATTAGTAAAGTAGCACTTTTCATTAATGACCCACCTTCTATAGAGGCTAGGAAATGGCGGCAACAGATAACAATAACGATAGCGTTTGTTTATTAAGAACGCAACTTTTATAGCAGACGTGACATAAGATAGCGGTGAGTTTAGTCATGAAAACGAGTAGATTGCTGTGTGATGTCTTTAGCAAATCTCGAGTTTGACCATTTAATTGGAGTACTGAAAGCTGTTCTCGCAGTACGGCTTGTCACAACATGATTATCGCTGATTTTTTGCATAAAGTTTCGATCTAGTGTGAAATCAAGTTACTTTTTAACAACTTTAGTACAAATTGCATCATTGAGACGATTGGAAGGACACGTTATGTTTGCACCGTTTCACTGACTGACTGACATCAAGCACGATTTTCATAGTTATTCTTCGAATTTAGAATTTCATCAGCTAATGCGTCTTTTCACGCTTCAGAATCCATCAAAAATTTCGTATGAATCTCGATTAAAAGATATTAGTTTCGATGGTAATCAAATTGTTTAAGGCCGATATAAAATCGAAAGATGGAGATCGCTAATGGAGGTATCAGTGCGTTGCCACTGGAGGACAAAATTTGCGATGAAGAGCCTCTGGATTCGGTGTTCATAGACGATAGCCGTGAAAGTGAGGATACGATTCAGTTTTCCGCCCGACGGCCACCAGTCAACAACTCACCGTCGAATCGGGAGAGCATCAGCACCACTCACAATCAGCAGCTTGTTTTCGTAAGCTTTTCACTCACAAAAGGTTCTCCGTTTCCATTTTACTTTACATTAACCACTGCGGTATCGTGCAGTCAATTGATGCAATGTTGACTGTATTGTGTATTTTACTGTTGAATATTCTTTCACGTTTCATTTCAATTCTTTAAGTTAATTCAACATTGTTAGATGATTTTTTGTGTTCCTTATTTGGTTGTGTCCGGTGAAGTTAATTCGAATTTGGTTACGTTGCAGATACCAAAGCGAACTCGTGCCACAGTGTCAATGCGTGACGATGAGACCGATATGTGGGGAAGTGAGGAGGTCGATCATAAAGAGGAATTCACACTTACACTTACTGACCCTGATCATCGAGTATGTTATCTGTTGTGAATATCCTAGTTCCTTGAACTACTTCCCCCACCTCCCAAGAAACGGGACATTCATTTTCCGGGGAAGTTGATTTGTTGATCAAAGAAATGCATGAATTCATAGGATACAACAGTTTATTTAAAATGTATTCACGAACACTACATCGGATGACATATATCTTATTCGTTAAGCACATATATCTTATTTGGCAGGTTTTGCTTAATCTTATCTAAGCACTTCAACGGATCACAATCGTTTCGCGATTAAACGTCGATACGTTTGCAGTGTTTTTGGTGCCTTTTATGGCAGTGAATTGTAGTGAAGAGTGCAACATCGAATTTTCAGAATGCGTTATTGGATCGACTGAATACGTTCCGACGGAATCGTGAACTTTGCGATGTGGTATTGTTTGTGCGTGAAAAGGAAATTCTTGCCCATAAGGTATTGTGCATATTAATCCAATTACTTTAATGGTGCACTTTCATTGAAATCCTGCGGAAGGATTCATTCGTATTAGTATCCAGTTAGTATAATTGACGAATTTCTTCAAAATTACACTCTCAGTATGATTTCGGCGCTGTTATACTTCAACGATCGAACTATATCTATTTGAAAGCCTAACACTAAGCACAAGCAGTGTCATGACTGAATTGTAATTTACGATGTATCCTCCCTCATCACATAACATGAAAAACAACGTTTAATTAATCCGAACCGCATCATCGGAAGTGTCTTGCTGTAAACAGCATGACTTGTCCATCCAGATTGATGCTTTGTCGTTTCTAACGAGAGATTTATTTGAATTCCTTGAACAGAGCACATATTTCAATGACAACGTTAATGTTGTTATTCCTAACATTTCTTTCATGTGGTGTGTTATCTAATTCGATTTTGCATTAACTCAGAAACAATCAAAGACCTCTCAT